TGATACAGATGAAGATGATAGAGACAAACTAACTAGTTTATTTTGACTACTGTGATCCAGATGAGGACAAATATTAGGAAGTTTGTTTTATGTTATATGGTATATACACTTTAATATATTTTTATCCTATTTTACTTTTAAGTTATAATATGGTATGTAGACGCTAGTCTATTTGTTATTTTTCATTATCATCTAATATATTTGACTATTTTTGTTCTATAAATGCAGCATGTCGGATAAAGGACTAGCATGTAACCTTTTTCCAGTTCGTCCTTCGTCGGGTGGTAGGCCATCGTCTTTGCCTGAACCTAGTGGCCTTCAATGCATCCCTCTTATAGGTGGTCCTGTACCAGGAGCCAGGTCATCACCTTTGCCTGATCCTAGTGGCCTTCCACGCATCCCTCTTACAGGTGGTTCTGTACCAGGAGCCAGGTCATCACTTTTGCCTGATCCTAATGGCCTTCCACGCATCCATCTCATAGGTGGTTCTGTACCAGGAGCCAGGTCATCACCTTTGCCTGATCCTAGTGGCCTTCAACGCATCCCTCTTACAGGTGGTTCTGTACCAGGAGCCATGTCATCACCTTTGCCTGATCCTAGTGGCCTTCCACACGTCCCTCTTATAGGTGGTTCTGTACCAGAATCCGGGTCATCACCTTTGCTTAATCCTAGTAGCCTTCCACATGGTGGTTTTGTATCGGGAGCCAGGTCATCGCCCGGCCCTAATGGCCTTCCACGCATCCCTTTGTCAGGTGGCCTTTCACGCACTTCAGTTAGGACGACAAGGCCTGTATTCTCAGGGACTAGTAGCATGGGTGACATAAATACGCACATGGGATTGACTGATGCTATAGTAGAATCAGGGGTGGTACAGAATTTCGGGAATGGTATTGCATATGGTTATGAGATGATAGGCAACAATGAAGACCCTGCTAGTGATTTTTTCTATAATGGGACTGAGCATGAAAATGAGCCTGAGCATGGGCATGAGTCTGTGCATGAGCCTGAATCACCAATGGTTCAGACGCCCCATTATCCGGGTACACATGATGGATCAAATGATGCAGATTCGAATGGCTCTCATAGGCCATTTATCACATGAAAGGGGTACAAGTAAGTCTTTTTTTCTAATTATTATAAATTTACGATTTTTGATGTTATAATTATCCTTATATGGTTATTTTGATATTGTAGGTTTGGAAGACAAAGTATTCATCGGGCGATCTTAAAGATATTTTGGCAGTCTATAAATGAATCTTGGATTACTTATAGAAAAATTTCGAAGGAAGTTGTCACTCAAATGTTTGAGCGTTTCAGGGTAATATATTAATCATTTATTTTTAATATTTATTTCTCATTCACTGTTATTTTGTATTTTAAACTTTTACTTTTTATTTTTTACAAACTCAATACCGGTGGGATCCAAATGAAGAAGGGATAATTCGTGAAGGTTTTGAGAATACACTGAAAGATCGCTACAGGGGTAGAATGAGGGATACTAGGGAAGCATTGGTAAATTCTGCAACAAAAGTTGGCCACGTTATCGTAGAGATTAATGATAACTTTGAGATTCTTGCAAATTACAATCATGCTGAAATACATATAGATGTTTGGCGACGTTTGTGCAGGGCAAGGAATCTAATACATTATTGCTTATTTTGTTTGTTTTTTATTTTGTATTCTACTTATATACATATATATATATATATATATATATATATATATATATATATATATATATATATATATATATATATATATATATATATATATTACAGAAATGGGACACGGATGAGTGGAAAAAGTTGTCCAAAAGCGGAAAAAAAAAACCGTAACATTGATTCGGGGGGGTAGCCAAACATACGGGTGGTAGCATTGGATTTGAGGAGCACCGTCTTAAATTGGTAGGTAATCCTAATTATAGATTTTAGTGATACATTTGTCTTTCAACACTAATTATATCAATTATATTGTGTCGTTTATATAGAAACAGTTGACGGGTGAAGACCCCTCATTCATTGATCTTTATTATAAGACACATCTTACCGCCGAATCAAAGATAATATATTTTGGGGGAGATAAAGAGGCGCTAGTGGATTTTGTGAATGAGACATCTAGGGTAGCGATCGTAAGTTGTCTTCATCTTTTTATATATTTACTAATATTAGTTTTTACTTTTTAGTACAATAACAAAAACTTTCTTTTGGTATATTGTAGGAATCATATAACACAACCCTATCTCAAAAATATGGTGATGATCCGACTCAACATAATGTGAATAATCGTGAATTATGGACCCAAACACAATTGCTTAGGAAAGGCGAGAAAGAAAAAGTCCTATCTATGGGGCAGGATACTCGGATCTTCACTTTCTGGTGACAGGTGCATATTCTTATGAGTCAACTTCAGCTTCTACTGACTTTGCAAAGTCACAATAGGAGGTACTATTATTTACATCATATATTATAGAGAAAAAAATCAAGTAAAGAGGTACTTAATATGGCTGAAAAATATATGTTCATATTGGTAAGGTACATTGTTTTTACGAGTGAAAATTGAAATATGTTGTCATTATTAATATTAGGTAAAGTGCATTGTTATTATGGTTGAAAATGATACTATGTTGCTATTATTTAATTAGGTAAAACATAATGTTATAATGGGTGAAAATTATAGTATGTTGCTATTATTGATATTTGGTAAAGTAAATTGTTGTTATTGATAATAATTTAAGTACAATGATATTATGGATTGGAAATGTAAAGTTAAAATAGTATAATGGATAAAAAATATATGTTATTATTATGCATATTAAAAGTTATTATTATGGATGTTAAAAACAATGTACATTTTTATTAGCAATAGTGTGTTTTTATATTGAATTAAAAGTAAAGTACATTGTTATCATGGTTTAAAGTTGAATTACATTTACTAACTGCATGTGTTTGTCTTGCTATATTTAGGTAAATGAGTTGCGACAACAAATGTCAAACATGGAACAAGCCATGGAAGAAAAGCAAAGTGAAATGAAATTTGCAAATGCAACAAATGCGAAATGAAATGGAATTGCAAGTGCAACGACAATTGACGGTCTTTATGAAACATATTAATCCGTCCGGTAATCCACCAAGTAGTTCTTAGTTTTTGTTTTAGAACACTAAATTAATGTTATGTTATTGACTAGTTCTTAGTTTTTGTAATGGTATTTTGAGTATTTGAATGTATGAATGGCATGTTAGTGACTATTTTAATGGTAATGAATGTAATGGTATTTGACTATTATTTTAATTATTTATTTGGTGTTTTTAGAAAATTTGGATATTTTTTAAATTATAAATTTAACATAGCAATAGATTTTTGACTGAATTGTAGGGAATAAATATTCCGTAGGAATTATAAATTTAATATAACAATAAAAACTGGTAAAAAATTCTTAGAAAATCTGTAGGAAATAAATATTCAGTAGGTATTCGGTAGGAAATAAAATCCAATAAAATCTGTAGGTATTCCGTAGGAAATAAATGTTGGTAGGTAATCCGTATGTAAAGTAGTTGGTAGGTATTCTGTAGGAAAATCAGTTGGTAGGTAATCCGTAGGTAAAGTAGTTGATAGGTATTCTGTAGGAAAATCAGTTGGTAGGTAATCCGTAGGTAAAGTAGTTGGTAGGTATTCTGTAGGAAAATCATTTCGTAGGTATTCCGTAGGAAAATAATCTGTATGTATTGTGTAGGAGTTTCGTAGCTAAATAACCCGTAGGTAATCTGTAAGTACTCCGTAGTTAACGTGTTCCGTAGATATTCCGTAGTTAAATTTGTAACAGAATATTTCGTAGGAAATGCGTAGGAACGTTTGTAGCTAATTTGTAAGAAAAAATTACTCACGAGAGTTTTTTCTACAACCCGTTTTTTGTAAGAAATTTGTAGGTAACGCCTTGTTCTTATGGATTTACTACCAATTATGTTGTAGGTAATTACTTAGTTTTCTAGTAGTGATTTGCTCCAATCACAGTTTATTTGTTTGATAGGTTGATGTTGTTTGATTGTTGATTTTTGTTTTTTGATTTGTATTTGCTTCGATTTCTAATTTGTATATGCTTCAATCAGTTCGATTTCTGGTTCCTAATTGCTTGAATAGGCAAGATGTGTTGATTGTAACAACTAGAATTCTTGAGATTGAATTTATGTTCTAATTTATCTATTTGATTGTAACATGTGTTGATTTATCTATTGGACTTTTTTTTTTTTGATTTTATGTATTTAATTGTAGATGGATGCTAATGTCATAATAGACATTGTTTAGAATGAGATTTACACTCAATCTCTTAAGTTGTTATTGCAAGCAATGCAATAACAATTGATAATGAAATTGCTGCAAATGATTGTTAGAAGAAGATGAAATTAGAAAAGAAGATGATGAAAAATCTTTTATTGTTTATTGGTTTTAATTTAAAAAGTTGTTTCTTGGTTTTTGTAAGAAGATTTGTTAGTTATAGTAATGTTTGTAAAAAACAATTAATAAACAATATTAAAAGCAAAAACTTAAAAAAAAAACCAAAAAAAATCATATTAAAAAAAGAATAATATATTTTTAGGATGCTTATGAATATTGTTTTATTTTGTTGGTTCATATCATGTGAAAGAAAAAGAAGGGAGCATGACATAGTTTAAAAAATAAAATAAAATAATAAATAACCTTATACGCTAAATATGTTCAAAAGTATAGCTAATATGTAAATAAGTTTTTCAAAAACACATATACCGTCAAAAACTCATTAATTTCTCTGTCTAATTAAATTTACGTTTGAATATAATATTGCATAAATAAATACTGAGTTTATGAATATATGAACAATACTAATCCTCTATGGTAGCTTTTAACGAAAAATGATAAAAGATACGAAGCAATACAATTATAATTTCGTATGTCTATTCAACTATTTCAATATTCTCAAATAATAAAAACATAAAGAAGTATAAAAATCAGGAGCCTTCATTGAAACCTTAGTGATGCAAAGGGTTCGGACCAGTTGGGACCAGGTGCATCTCCACGCCGTATCGTGGGTCAATCACGGACTGTTCAACGGGACTAGTTTTCCGGTGGTGGTGCCGCCTGTAAATGAATGGTGAGAAGTTGAATTTCGTGGGTGGTGCTAATGCTTTTCTATTGAGTAATGTATAAGGAACCGAAGGAGAAAGGAGGTGGTGGTGATATTCTTGTTGATGGAAATGAACTTTGTGGATTAATCTTGGTGGTGGTTGGTTAAAAACGGAGGAGGAGGTGGTGGTGGTGGAGAAGCAGAAGAGGAGGAAGAGAGTAACAAGAGTGAGTATTGCCGGTGAGTGTAGAACTCCGACTACCATGGCGGGTGGCAGAGGTGGTGGGAGATTGGAAGAGATAGCATGAGGGAGAGTGGGAGGTGGAAGTTGAAGTTGAAGGTGTATTTTGATAAGCCTAGCTTCTTTTAAGCTGAACAGAAGAAATGAATTGCCTTTTTATATATATACACACTAACCCTAAATCTTTCCATTTGTGACTCTAATAAAAGTTAATTATATTTATTAGTTTTTAGAGAATGAAGAAAAAGAAATAAGAGTGTATATAAACTTTTATTAGACGTGCTCGAATCGAAATTTTGTTTTGTTTGTGGCTTGCTCCTTTTTGGTCGTATTTTTTGTTAAAAAATGATTTTCTCCAACCCAATAAAATGTAATATTTATTCGCAACGTATGAAATGCATGTCTTGACAAGGCAATGCATAAAAACCACTCATTTTATGTATTTAAAATAGAGTATAAGTTAATAATCTATAATTTGAGTTACAGTTTCGTTGGTGTGTGAAAAATTACGTACATATACATTATATGTTTCTAGTTTTCGTTGGGATATAAAGAACAAATGTACTTGCCACTCTATACCTATTAGATTTTAGCTCGATTCGAATTCTATTGGAATTTAATGAAACTAGTTATCTATTTCTTATAGCGCTAGTCGTTATATACATAGACAAAAGAGATCCAAATTATTTGTAATGTGTACATGTACAGAAATATTCTATATATAAAAAAAAATAAAAAAAATAAAAAAAAAACATGAATGTGCGCGTGGAAATATTAGAGAAAAATAGGGAAGAAGATGTGTGCCCCGACCATTCTTCCAACAGTCTTCCCTTTGATTTCAAGCAACCAATTTTGTCAAACCCTTGACTTCTTTTTTATTTTTTCTACTTCAGTTTTTAAACCTTATATATGTATACATAATAATATCCCATTCATGTTTTCCGGAATAGCATTTTAAAAACGGTAAAAGTATATTTGGAAAAATATAAAAAAAGCTATATTTTCCATAAAGTAATGTGCTTATAATAAGCTCGGTGGTCCATAACAATCATCAAGGAAAACGGAACTCCGATAAAATATCCTACATGGGAGTCAGGATATTTGTAACTTTATAATTGCCAAACAATAAAAATGATCACGCCATTGGGTTTCATATATTTCAGTTGGTCCAATAGGTATCATTGGATAAGAAGATTAGTTATACGCAACACAGCAAGATTGCATTTAAAAAACTAAACAAACTTTCTACATTTATTTTCAATGATAAGTTAAAGATGCACTTCACGTTATGTACCATTTTATTTTAAATTTTTGGGTGAGACAAAACGTTACAAGCTATATTTCATTAAGACTGTTCTAAATTGCAGTCGAATGCGCAGTCTGAATGCAAGCCAAACATACTATAAAACATCTTCTTATTTTTAAATACAGAATCCTTCAATGTTATTTCGTCATTAGAAATAATGAAATATAGAAGTGGGAGTTGGTAAAGAGTGGCCCATGAACCCCGGCCAAATCCAAAGTATATGGAAATATATAAGACTTAAGAGACCACCTTAGCCTTGGGTTAGTCTTTGTCGGGCAAAAGTGCACCAGTTTTCCCGTATGTATGCACCATCAACCACCCACAAGTGGGTGGGTAAGCCTTGTGCCCCACCATATTGACCACACAGAAAATATAAGTTAATGAAGGATTAGGTATGGATTTTGGCAAGATGTTATTAGTTTTTTTGAATGTTAACTTTTTAAAGATATGGGATATGATTATAAAAGAAAATCAAACTTCTCTTCATTCCAATTGTTTTCTAAGAATGCCTCGCAATGATCTAATAAGTTGTTACATAGTCATATCTAAATCGTTATCTATGGTGTCAAAAATAATAATAATAATAATAATAATAATAATAATAATAATAATAATAATAATAATAATAATAATAATTAATTAATTAATTAATTAATTAATTTGTACGTAGGTGGGAGACTAAGACGAAGCACATATGGGGTTTCCATCTTATTGAATTAAAGTTTTAGTTATTGTATGGGTGGATAAACGGAGTTTAGCATGTAAATCAATGGATTCAGTTTTGATCATGATTCGCTTCAAATCCATACGAATTTTAAGGGGTTGGATTTTGATTTTTGATTCGTTTACCTGTTTACGATTGATACCCGTTTACTCTTTTATTAAATGGATTGGGTATGGATCATTATCGATTGGCTTCATTTATAACCCGTCCAATATATATATATATATATATATATATATATATATATATATATATATATATATATCCAATGTTTTAAAAACCAGTTTTTTAGCTGAACCGATATGGTGGCCGTTCATGGTCTAACCAGTCCGACCGATTTTTATAATTTTCATATATATATTTTTTTTATTTTCCTATACACACATAGACATTCACAAGTTTAAACATTAAAAATACATATTAATACAAGTTGAAGACTAATCTAAACACATTAAAAACAAATAACGGTAACTTTTACATCAATCCACATACATCAAAAATAAAATAAAGTATAATACAAAAACAAAATATAGGTTTAGATGAATAAAAACACATTAAAAAACTTTAATATTTATCATGTGTTTTTATTCATTTCCGGTTTATTATTGTATTGGATTTGATCATTAACTAATGTATATCTTGTTTAAGTAGACATTTATCTTTTATGATAAATATTACTTTGTGACACACATCAAAATTGTGAAATGTTAATATTGTAAAAGGGTCGGGTTAATGGGTCGGGTATTTGTTGATTCGGTAGATACGAGTATGGATTCGATTATTCAAAACTTTGAGGGTTATTGGAGTGGCACAAGTCATGTTTTTAAATTTTTAAAAGGGTTTGGATCAAAAGTGATTCGCTCCAAACCCGTCTCATTGACATGTCTATGAAAGATGAATCACATGGTATTTAAAATTTAAAAAAATGAAGAATAAATAAACGCATTCGTAATCCATACAACAATTTCGAAATTCATGTATTTCGATATTCATACAAGTTTCAATATGTCTTTTTAGAAAACTTTGTTTCCTAACTCCCTATGTTTTTCGCAAATGATATAGCTTCGAACTTATAGTTAGGCAATTGGAAGAGTTGGAATAGTCTGCAAAAATACCACATTTTCAAAGCTTATTTAACATTATGATAATCTTTTAAACAATTATTCAAATTTACCATCACAATGGAAAGTCTGTCAAATTCAACATACCTAAGGGCTTAGAGCCTTAGACCATCTTTAATGGACCTCTATTTTTGTGTCATGGAGTGGACCTTTATAAATTTATAATAATGTAACATCCATAAAATTCGAGCAAATTTAAAACTTTTTAAATCATTTGAAACCATTCCATTATTACGGTTTGTTTTCAAAATAGTTTATACATCAGAGTTCCCAGAAATCATAATCGTCAATCGAGGAAGTGTACAGTCACTTCTTCGTCTACCCGCGGTCATCCGCTGAACCTGAAACAATAAATTGAATTTGTAAGCCCGGAAGCTTAGTAAGTTACCCCCAAAATACCGACACACATACAGTCCACAACAATATCAGCAATATCATAACATAACAAATTGAACAACATGCGATGGGTCCACAGTTTTACAGACTGGATTACCCCTGGGCCCACAATGTGAGTCTGGATTGCCTTCCGGGCCCACAGCTCACATCTGGATCGCCACCAAGCCCACGGTACGAGTCTGGCACACTACTAGAAAAACAGCCTTTTACGACGCGCAAAACACGACGCTCTTTGATTTATGTTATGCATTAGAGAGCGACATTAAAAAAGAGTCATCTCTTAAAAAAATTTAAGAATTTAGGTCGCGCATTACTGAGTGCCCTTAAATTAGTGTCTCACGAAAAGAAATTAAAAACACGGAGGGCGCTTTATTTTAAAGATGCGTCCTCTATATTTTTCGCTTTATAATTTTAATGAAAAGGCGCGTTTAGTAGAGGTGGGAAACGAAGTCCCCAAAATTTTGAAAAGTCGTCTTCTACCTTCTTTCTATCTTTCATCTTCTCCCCTCTCACTCCCTCCTTCTCTCTCCTCTCTGATCCGCTTCCCCGCCACTCGTGACCTCCTTATCGATCTCATCAAACATCGTGTTCCATCCTTAATACCTCGCGAGAATCTAAAATTTAGAAAACCTCGTACTCAAAAAGTCTAAGAAACTAGGGTTTTTTCATCCCTCAAAGAACGACCCACATCCTCCATAGATCGATCTCTACCGCTTCATTTCTCACAAGAAATCAAACACTTTACGTTCATAGGGCCACAATTGCAAGGATGCTCACTCACCTTTCTAGAGAATACCTTCGCATATATAACACGATCATCTTCACAAAAATGGCTGCCACCATTGCTTGAGCGGGCTCAAGCTACGATCGACAATCAGAGCTCAAAGCTTTCGACCAAACAAAAATCGGCGTCAAAGGCCTCGTCGATGCCGGAATCCAATCGGAGCTAGGGCTTTTTGTGAAGAACTTGCCCCGCCTTTCTCTACTGCGTGTTCTCTCTTCTGCATCTCCACCCTCCAATGAAATCCAATCACCAGCGATCCTATAACAGTTCTTTCTCATGCTCGAACCCTAGATCTCACCTCGTACCTTGCTACATCTCTATAACAGTTCTTTCTCATGCTCGAACCCTATTTCTTTCTCATGCTCGAACCCTAGATCACCAGCGATCCTATAACAGTTCTTTCAATTGCTTGATTTTGTCGATTCGTATACGATTGCATCAGCAGTTGATCCAGTCTCGCACCAAAATCTATTTGAAGAAGATTAGAGATAGAGGGAGAGGTAGAGCTCGTGGTGGTGGTGGTGGTCGAGGTCAAGGAAGATCATTTGGTGGTGGAAGACCAACAGGGCCACCTCGTAGAGGTCCCCTTGCTGTGAATGCTCGACCAACACGAAAATTATTTTATGGCTGATGTTTATCTAAAACGGGTCATAATCCCTTCACAAATCTTTAGTTATATTCTATATTTTGATATTTTGATTTGGAGGATTTGTTTTTTTGATCGATGGTTAATGATTATAAAGTCGTCATGGAAAATCTTAATCCACAAAGGTTTGCAGGTTCATATACGCTCTGTAATTTAGATTTGATCTGTCGATAGTTTCAATCTCAAAGATCAGATCTTTATGATCAGGCGTTTCCAGGTTCTTGCTCTCTTATGTTGTTCTAAGTGTTATCAGGTTCTTTTTATGGTCTCTTCTATGAGGAGATGCAGGTTATAATTAAGAATTTATCTACGAATCTACTTGCTGTGGCAGATCGATAGGGTTATTGGTTTATTGCTCCATACTCTGATTGAGAATTCTTTCTTATATTGTCTTATGCTACACCTCCATTTTCCTTGATTTGGAATCAGGTTGAGGCTTTGAAATGTGCACTATCACTTTTGGCCTTGGCTAGAATATGGAGAACTGAAGGTGTGACCGAAGATAACGGGTTTGTTCAATAAACTTCCTTCAAAAAATAAATTTGTCCAATAGTTTCATTACAGAAATTGAAAAGAAAAAAAAAAGGAATAACAGGATTAGAGGCATCAAAGCCACCTAATGGCAGGGTGGATGATGTCTCGAGCCTATCAGGATTTTAATCAGTGAAAAACTAGGCTGTGAGGGGATGATTCATCCTTGTTTCTCACCGGTCCTTACTAGAAGTTAATAGAACAATAATATTGAGTGTCTTTTTGTGTGTGCGTGGAAAGTAAATTCATTACAGAACACTTCTAAAAGTGTGATGATAAAGCTACTTAAAATACATATTAGTAAATGCAACTGATAAAGCTAATCACATGCTTTGAGCCAAAGCCATTGAATGCATTAACCTTGTTGGGATGGCTGTTGGAAAAGAGATATTTAGAGATAAAGTAATTTTCACACATTTCATCATAAAATATGCACCATTGACTAGTTCTTTTTAGTTTATTCGAAGTTTCTAATAATCTTGAAAATGGTTTCAAGGTGATGGAAGTTCTTATTTTGTTGCAAGGAACTCAAATGGAAACCATTGATCCCACCACAAGTTACATGCTTCAAGTAAGTGTTATTTGAATTTTTATTCTAACAAAAACAGATTTGATATATTATATATTTAACATATGTTAATTCCATTTATGCCCTTTTAACTATTTTATATTAGGGATGAGTGTATGAGCCGGAGAATCGAAAAATGGACCGGACCAGACGGAACCTGAGTTAAATATAACCGGGGCAGTTCCCAGTTCTAATGTTTTTCATATTTCGGTTTTCGGGTAAGAACCGGATCGGATTCGGAAAGTGTTAGAAAAATATTTTATGTGTTATTTTTGTTACTTGGTTTACTGGTAAATTTATTTTTTGTTATATATGCTCCCACCAGACATCATTTTATGTGTTATTTTTGCTATTTGGTTTTAGAGTTTGTCTTCACTTTTGACATTTGCTCCTTTATCTTGAAATCCAGTTTCATGTACTTAGATTATGGTTTTGGTTTATGGTTATTGCAAAGTTACCAAGCCGATGTATTTTTAAGTTTTATTTCCATAGTTGGTAATAAAACATGTTTTCTACAGTTGGTTCTTGTTAATGGCTCGCACTCGGCTCACATATGACATGTAAACAATAAATTTATGTTTTTATGCATAAATTGATTATTAACATTTAACACAACACATATGGTTGTACTTGTATGCAAAGTGATGCACGAGCTGCTAAGGTTAAATTAGGAACAACCAGTTTGTTAGCTTCACTTCTGGCATTTTAGTTTTTGATTAATTGCAAGAGATAACAATGTTTTTTTCAATGCTTTTCAATATTTCAATTGGATAGTTTTCCAAAGCTTTTTAGTTTTTGATTCATATCTAATTTTGAAATTTCTAAAATTACAGTAACAAATGATTTGTGCTTTAAAATTTATGTTAATTGGGTCTTAAGGTTTTGTAGAAATGTTTTTTTAGCATTGCATGGAATTATATGTTTAACACTTCTTTTTATTTATCTCAGGTGTTGATGTTGGGAGTACACCTTTGCTTTTCAGGTACCAACTGTTTTCTCTTGGAATTTTTTTTGCCTGAGATTTTTTGCTGCCAACTGTCCCTTCGGGTCCTTCATTTGGAGATTTTGTTGTCTGGAAAGGGGAGACTGCAACTCCTACACCTACTCCAGCTTGGTTAACTGATTCAGGAAAGATTGCAAGGCATACTTCCTTAAGGTACATTCTTAAAGAACAAGAGAATAAAGGTGGTGGTTCTTCTGTTTAGCAACAACAACATCAAGTACATGTCCCAGATCAGAAGCCCATGTCATCATCTGTTCAAACTAAAAATGGTCCTTCATGGTCATCACCTGTCCATATTATGTCACATAGTGGGACTGGGGCTTCTTCTCAATCAAAGAACAAAGTTGATGATCTTTTCTAGGGTCCTTTGGATCACCCGAAACAAGAAGCAAAAAAGTATGGTTTCTTTTATTATATATGTATTTTTATGGAAGCGTGTTTGATGATTTTGGTTTGTGTTTGTGATACAGGGCTGATTTTCCTCAACTTGCAAATCAAGGGAGTTGGGCTAAGAACACTCATGGAAAAGAAACTTCTGGTAGGGCTATGTGTCGACAGAAGTTTGGGAGTGGAAGACCTGTTGAAGCTTCTCTTTCATCATCTCCTTCATTGAAGGGGAAAAGAGATGTTATGGCTAAACATTCAGGTAAAGTGGACTCCATTAGCCAAGGACACATCTGCTAAAGTAATTCTTGAGCTATCTTTATATATATTTTTTCCCATTTTCACAAATTTAAATGTTTTTATTTTCCATGAAAAATATATTGGAGCTTGTTGAGAAATCCAAAGGGTGGTCTTCACTAGAACAGACTAGGGACAGTGCTAAAAATGTGATGAAGCGGATTTTTGAGGAAGAGTTATATGATATCCTACTGCTAATTATATTCACAGGAGGGGTGGTTCCGTCCAAAGGTTTTTCACAGTTTATCATGTTGCTTTGCATGCTTGTGCAGATCTTAAAGATGTTCAGGTAGCTATAATTCATTACAAATTTATAATCAAATATTCAAATACACAATATGCTTTCTTTATCTGGTATGGCTATAATTCATTATAAGTTTATATGTGTAAGGTTGGTTGATCAGGTATGGCTAAAATAGAGAAGTTGAATTGAAATATATATGCTTTGTTTATATCTATAGTTTTACCAAAAGATTTAAAGTTAGTTTTAGTTGTTTATCTGTGTAAGCTTGTTTTGAGTGTATTTATGCAAGTAAGATTTAGTAGTTTTTTTCATTGTGGTTTATTTTATTTCATTATCTTTTTTGATACATAATTACATTAAATATAATTTCTTGTTTTTATTTAGGGTAAAGCAAGCTCCATGGTGGTAGTTGCCCTTCGGCCTAAACCAGGGTGGGAGGTTCGTTAATCTTTGATTATATTGATAAGCCCCTTCATCTTCTGGATCTGGGACAATTGCTGATAGATTAATTTATTTGCTTCCATCACATACCTCAGGTAAATTACTAAAAATAAATCCATTAAACATACAATCTTAGGCCTAAATTTATTTTATTTTTTGTTTTGATTAAACTTTTATGTTTTTTGACAATTTTATGTTGGGGAAGGTGATGGTGATGGTGGTTATGTGGGCCGGCTCCACAAACTTGCTGCTTTCCAGGAGAATGCATTAATTCATGCATTGTCTTATAAGTTGGAATTCAACAATTATGCCTTTTTGTTGTATTGAAAAGACCAAAATACCCTTTTGGTGTGTAATTCATGCATTGTTCAAGCTTTCTAATTTACTTCCATAGATGATGGAAGAACTATTTCTTCACTTGTATGCACAAAACTCAGCTCTTCCACGTATGATTCAAATACTTGTAGGATTTGCTACTTCTAATGGTTAGTCCTCTATCCAACTCTTTGGCATCCTTATGAGTCTTCTTTCATGTGTTCAAAACTGAGTCCTGAAACTGAATATCTTTTGGTGCTATGATCATTTATTTGAAGCTTTGATGTTTACTCAAGACTTAAAGGTGTGCTTTCCCAAGTTCTTCCTATTTTAGGGAATGTTAAAGATCAACATCGACCAATTTTTGCAAATGGTATGCTTAAAGACCCTTTAACTCCTTGTTTCCATGATTCCTTTTCACTAATTCTATCATCTATTGGTTCTTTCATACACATGCATCTGTTATCTCAAATCTTACATTTATTTTTATTTATGTTATTGTTTTTTCCAGCTTTCAGGTGCTGGTGTCAAGCTTGTTGGCAATACAGTGTGGAGTACCCTCTTTCATCAATTCTTGATAGTGATGTCACGTGAGAAATCATTTTTCTTTTTGTTAAACAAGTCTTTATTATCATGTATTAGGTCAAACCATGGGTAAAAACAGCCTTTCCCCTGGTTCCGGGGTTGTCACAAAATACTTGGCTTTTTAACTTTGTTTTTGGTTTCATTTAGTAATAATCCTTCTGAGGGGGTGTTTGTTGGGCTGCTTCTTTCAATGTCATTAACAACAGTGGTAAGTAAAATCTTACTACAATGAAACTCTTTTGCTTAAACCTACCTTATTGACTTGTAGCTGATTAAGCATTAAATTAATTATGCAGGTTTTGAAGTTTTTGATGGAAAAGAATAGTGTTAATGCTCTTCATAGAAAAGTATGTTGGTATTTTAGGAAATTTGGCTAATAATTTAGTTAATTATATAAAAAATGTTGAAATGTTACATTTGTCTACTATTGGAATAATTATTTGTAGTATTACATTTTTCTACTATTGAAATGATTATTTGTATAACATTAACTTTTGTGTAATGCATTGTATATGGTATTTTATTTTCCGTTATGTGACATGAAATTCAAATTTAATATGAAAATAAGTAAATCCATAAATAATTTTTTTAAAAAAAATTTAAAACTACGATACGCAAAAATGTGTGTCATCTTCATTTATGACATGTCCTTTCTTGACAAGGGCTTTCTTGATACGCATTGCGTGTCATTAACACGCGCGTCGTAAGGTTACGACACGCGAATGCATGTCGTCTTCCTTTATGACAGGGCCTTTCTTGATACGCATTGCGTGTCGTAAACGCACGTCATAATTACGCGTCGTAAATGAGCGTCGTAAATGCGCATCGTCTCTCTTTATGACAAGGCCTTCCTTGACGCGCATTTGCGCGTCGTCTGAGCCATTTATGATGCGCAATGAGCATCGTAAAAGGCTATTTTTCTAGTAGTGGCATGCCCTACCCGGCCCTCAGCTCATATCTAGAATGCTCCCGAGTCCTCGGTATGAGTCTAGCATGCATTGCCCGACCCTCAGCTCATATCTGGAATACTCTAGGGTTTGTTGGCTACCGCACGGAGCAGTACAACCTCAACCCATCCCATATAACATGTCGACAAATAACACAACAAATGCACACACAGATAATCACATAATATTATGGTATTCCAACAGATCTACCTAACTGGCATAACAACTAGCATGCAACTCTAGCTCATACTCAACATACTACCACTGCTAGGATATCATATCCAATACACATACCAATAATCAATACTATCACAGGTAGTCCTACAAGCCTACCAAACTAACATATCCAATTAGCATGTATCTAATATATACTTATCATAACAACTACTAGGATATTAATCCATTGGGTCGGCCTTGCTGCCTTAGACCCCTTAGTATATGTAACGTGCGGGTTTCAGGGCTAAGCATTTTTGTCAATGTAATAGTCTAGTTCAACTGTTGTAACTCTTTTTGAAGTAATAAAGATGAAATATTTGAGTATTATGTGAATTATGTGTGTTTATGTGTTTATTATTTAATTATAAATGTATAATTAATAAAGAATAAAAATGAGCGTCAAAATTAAAGTGTGAGATAATCCCGATATATCTACATAAAGTTGTATAATATGTCTCAAGGTTTCCGTACGTATAAAGAATGCCGAAATCCGAGTTATAACGAAGAAGTTATGACCCGCCGAAGTTTTACGGCAAAACCGGCACGGCACCGGGAAACGTAAATAGTGAATTTACGATAGAAGACTTTTTAGCCTTATAAATATAAACAAAAGTCGTAGAATATGTTAAACTAAGAACATCGATAAAAAGAACGCCCAAATCTGACTTCGTATGAAGAAGTTACGATTTTTCGAAGTTTCGGACTAGCAGTGTACAGCCTGAAATTCGAATGTTTGATCGAGCAGTTTTTAGCCAACACGAACTAAACGAGAATTGAAGATCTCGTTAAGAGTAGCGTAACGAGAAAAATATGGGCGAAAACGGATGTCGGATGAAGAAGTTATGAGGATTTAACAGACCAATCCTATCCCGACCCGTTGATAATATAAAATTTAAAATCGAGCCAAAATTAGCCGACGAAGTCTAAACGAAAGTTGTAGAGTACGTTCCCACCTTCGCGTGGATATAAAGAACGTCAAAAACGGAGATCGTATGCGAAAGTTACGAATTTTTGAAGTTAGGACTCGAAAATGTGAAACCTGGTACGAGACTGATGACGTGGCACAATCCCAGCCATCGCTTGCGGCCCACGGTCTTTGCTTCGGATCGAGACACGCACCCTTCGCATTATGCCCCGCGTACGAGATCTGGTACGCCCCGCGTACCTCCGGCCTTATCCGTCCGATTCCGAGTGCGAGCCAGCTGTTGCGAGCTGGCAACCACCTCCGAGCTACGCCCCGCGTAGCACCACCGAACGCCCAGCGTAGCGAGGCCCTCGCGCCTATAAAAGGGGGCCGAGGCTGACCTCATTCTTCACACCAAAATCCTTTCTCTCTCTACAACCCCAAACCACCCCTAAGCCCTAGTTAAACCCCTAGCACCCTAAGGAAGCCCCGAGGCTCCCGGAGTCCCGAGAAAAAGGAGTTTTTCGGTTTCGAAACGCTGCTCCAATTAAGTCCCAGTTTTCGATAAAATTCGATGTTTTATCAAAGGAATATCATTTTGAGAGTATCGAAGCGCTGTCCGAGTGCTGAGTCACCACCTAATCAAGTGAGTGCATAGTTACCTTCAACTTACACATAGATATGAAGTATTTTATATAAATTACGTGCTATGTGTGCATATTATCTGATTACTTGCTATCTATGCTAGATGAACGTTGTTATACATGTTTTCAATGATTTAAACTGTATACGTATTTTATATCTACGAAAATGTTGGGGTAAAACATGGGTAGATGTAATAGGTGATGTGTGATAAAATGATGAGAGGCCTCGATGTTGTTGTTGTTGATCCAGTCATCTAGCGGAGTATAGATGACGACCACGGACTCTTCTAGACAGTCCAGTGGAACACTAGCAGGCTCGCAACCTGTAGGTGTTGTGAACGATGTGTTCACCGGTGTACTCCATCCCCCACATGGTTGCCTATTAGGACATTTATTGCTGAGGAATCCCCTTAGCAGTAGTGACCGTCCCGATGATGATCCTTAGGCTAGGTCCCTGATGATAGGTGTTTAGGGACGTAATGTGAGGATAACGGGAACGGGTAATCGGGTTATTATTGATTGATGAAATTAATAAACTTATTTATTGTGGGTTGAAAACCCTATGTGCTCACCAGGCTCCCAAGCCTGACCCACTCAGTTTTATGTATTACAGGTAGTGGCGCATGAGCATAGGTGTGATGTTTTGGACGAGGGATTACGGATATAGGCCTGTAGATATGAAATAATGTAGTAAGGCTTATATTGTACTGTTTATACTTTTGATCTGTACGAACATGACATCCCGAGTCTTTTAATGAAATACATTTCTATGGAAATGCTTTTGATAAATCTTTATCATATTATTGTTTTGGGACAAATTCGCAACCCTTTTATTAAAAGATAACTCTGATTTTGAAATAAAGTATAAACAAAACCGGTCTTTTCTGGCCGTGATTTTGGGGATGTCACAGTTGGTATCAGAGCATTAGTTTAAGCGAACTAGGAATTTGTAGGATTTCTAGACTTCAACTTAGAATGTTAAGCGATGATTGTGAGGTGTGAGCACTAGCTTATTTTAGGAATTGTGCCTAAAATGCTTTTATGTGCTAAATGCTTTATGCATAATATGTTGTTATTTTGTTCGGATCTATGGTTTGTTGCCGACCGGATCTGGAAACCTTATGTGTTTAGGATTCTAAACGTACGACTACGATATTAGAACTAGCACGTAAACGTTTCGGAGTGATAAGGACGATTTAAAACGTTTCTCCTAAATAAAGATCTGAATTCACCTTATTCGGTGTATAGATCAAGATGGGAAGGACCCGTAGCGGAAACGTGAACGCGAATGGAGGTAGGAACCAACCCCCAGTGGTTCAGCAAATACCTATTGTTGAAGAAGTTGCACCTGAGCCAGTTACCATGGCTGGAGTTCAAGCCATGATTCAGGCTATGCTAGCTGAACAAAGGGAAGAAATGAGACGGATGCTCCGCAAGAATAGGGACGAACCTACCATACATGTTGAACCGACGGAGCCAGTTCCTGAGCCATCCGAGGAAGGGAACTATAGCCGTCAAGTGAGTCAAATAGGGACTCAAGGCGAGCAAAGGGATGGACCAGAAGGGGGAAACAACAAGGATGGACGGATGTACAAAAATTTCTTGGGTGCGAAACCACCAAGTCTCTCAGGAAGCCCAAAGCCTGTTGAGATTATGGACTGGATCTCCGAGATGGAGATGGTGTTTGAGAGCTGCAATTGCAACGAGAAGTAGAAGACTGTCTTCGCTGTGAGACAATTGAAAACTGGAGTCTTGAGTTGGTGGAAGCTATTGGCAGATACGATGCCACGAGGAGAAGCCCTGAAAATGTCATGGGATGAGTTCTTGGAACAAATGAAGGCGTAGTACTGTTCAGAGATAGACCTGATTGATCTGAACAATGAGTTCCAAAATTTGAAGAAGGGGAGAATGAGCATCGATGACTATGCTGCTGCATTTACGGAAAAGATGAAGTTGTTTCCATACCTAGTGCCAACCGAACTTTCTAAAATTGAGAAATTCGCAAACGGACTGCCGGCTGACTTTGGCCCAACAGTCAAGATGGCAACCACTCTGAAATCAGCTATTCGAGCAGCTAAGAATGTGGAGACCCAACAAAAGGAAAGAGGTCTGGAAAGGGTTGAGGTCGGTGAGAAACGGAAGTTCGAGGGATCCTCGAAGTCCAACAAGAAGAGTAGATTCTCGAAATCTGGTGCGAGAGGAGGAGGATCAGAAGCAAAGTGGTGTGACAAGTGCAAGAAGAAGCACTTTGGGAAGTGATGGAGGGGTCACTTGTTACAAATGCGGAAAGCCTGGACACTATGCCAATGAATGCACCCTCAACCAGAAGGCCTGTTATGGGTGTAATGAAGAAGGGCACATTTTGAAGGACTGCCCGAAGAAGAAGGAGGCGGGAAGACCCAACATACCACCAAAGCCGAAGGCGAGAGCCTTCCAGATGACGCTCGAGGCTGCAAAGGAGGCAGCAGACGTCGCTTCAGGTACCTTTCTTTTAAATGGTTTGCCTGAAAATATACTGTTTGATTCCGGAGCCAACTACTCCTTTGTGTCTCATAAATTTGGTACGAAATTAGCATTGCCTGTAGAAAAACTAGATAATGCCCTGGTTGTAGAAGTTGCCAGTGGTAAATTCGTACCTGTTAGTAATCGTATTAGGAACATCGTCA